ATATTATATTATATTATATTATATTATATTATATTATATTATATTATATTATATTATATTATATTATATTATATTATATTATATTATATTATATTATATCATATCATATCATATCATATCATATTATATCATATTATATTATATTATATTATATTATATTATATTATATTATATCATATCATATTATATTATATTATATTATATTATATTATATTATATTATATTATATCATTTGTCTTTTTAAATCTAATTTTAAATATTTTGCTGTCTGTTTTACCATGTGTCCTGGCTGTCATGCATGTGTCATTCTGTGTCTTGTGTGAGCAGGTGTTAACCCAAGAGGACTGGAACACAGTCCTCTACAACGGGATGTCCAGGACTTCCAACTGGGCCTCCCTCTACTTCATCGCCTTGATGACCTTCGGGAACTACGTGCTCTTCAACCTGCTGGTGGCCATTCTCGTGGAGGGATTCTCCACAGAGGTCAGCACGCTTTTATCGAATATTATTTGCCGACAAAAGAAGGGGATTGCGGGGTTTGGAAGATGTATGGCTTGGGTTTTCCTCACATGAACGCTACTACAAGGTGCCCACGTCGGCTGGATAGGGCGGTCGCCCGACTCGGTCGCCCCAAACTGAAAACAAACCGTGTTTGTTTTTTAGGCGACCGAGTCGGTCGATCGGCCCCATAATCGGCCGATCCCATCCGTAGTGGGCACCCCATATACGGTAGCTATGAAGACCATCCCGGGTCACCCTGAAACGTCCGCCTAACGGGGCTCTAGTGAAGCTACGACAGGCCTAGCAAGCCGGTGGCGGATTGTTTGTTGCTAAAGAAAATGATAGGAGAAAGAAACGGATGGACCAAAACGAAAAACGACCCAGAAACAGAAAAGGACAACGAGAAAGAACGAACACTTTGACGGATAAAACATGAAAAAGGGGGGGGGGGGCAGTTGTGTGTGTGCGTTTTTTAAAATATATTTTCTGCAAATACACGTTCACTAATTGATAGTATATTGTAACATTTAAAATATTGTATAATATTTCTCTTCACACCTTTACCGTTAGTATCATTCTTTCTTGAAGTACAATGTATTCATTAATTGTAAGAACTCGTTACTTTAAACAAACCAGTCTAAAATATAAACGTGGAAACACGTTTGATTTTTTACACTTACACTGTTCAAACGCTACGACGGTGTCGGATAGTGTACTTTAAACACTTAAAAGAGACTGCAGTTTTCGAGAGCATTTTGCAATTATGGTCTGAACTTCGCTTGTTTTGACTTTAGCGTTAACTTTTCTTCTCCCTTTTTTACGTGTTATTTTTCTTATGTTGCTGTTATTTTTTAATTAATTATTAGTTTTTGTTTTAAATGGCAAACGTTTGTTTCTGTTCTTTAGGATGAAGAAAAGAAAAAGGATAAAATGAAAGATTTAGAGGAGTTGGAGAAAGAAGAGGAGGAGGAGATGGAAGAAGAGAAAGAAAAGCAAAGGCTAGCGGAGAACAACAATATCGAAAGCAATCAGGCGAGCAAAGCTCGGATGAACTCACTCGATCTGGACGTAAAAAATAACAAGGAGAAAGGTGAGTAAACGATTTATCCTGGTCCTGAGAAGGGGGTAGTCTGTGTCTTATATAGGGTAAGATCAGATTAATATTTATTGTCCAGACTCTGATATACTGACCCATTAGCCCGTTGCTCTTTCTCTCTCTCTCTCTCTCTCTCTCTCTCTCTCTCTCTCTCTCTCTCTCTCTCTCTCTCTCACACACACACACACACACACACAAACACACACACACACACACACACACACACACACACACACACACACACACACTCAAAACCACAAATTTCTGATAGTGAATATAACGCCATATGAGACAAGTAATGACCTGTCCATTTATGCTAATAGAAAACACTAAATAGAGGGAAATCATTCTGAGTGGTGATGTGATAATGCATTATTTTATGGAAGAGGCTAGCCGTACTTAATGACGGCTAGACTGGCAGTCTAGCCGTACTTATTCTTAATATGATGGCTAGACTTACCATTAAAAAAATAGGCCTACTGAATTGTAAATATAAATTTTTAGTGTGCAGTACCTAAAGTATTTGTGTTTGAGACGAAACCAGGTGCCTTAATGACAGTGCATGTATTTTAAACCTCCTGTTTTCTAATGTACTTAAGGACGGCTAGACTGTCAGGCTAGCCGTACTTAATATTGATGGCTGAATTGTAAATGAAATTTTTAGTTTGCAATGCCTAAAGTATTTGTTTTTCAGACAAAACCAAAAGGTGCCTTACTGACTTGCATGTATTTGAACCTGAATAATTACTAGATCTGGATCTAATGAGACCTGTGTACTTAACAGGCTTGAGTAGATAGGGCCAAACCTAGATCTAAGTACGGCTAGACTCTCAGTCTAGCCGTACGCCTAGCCACTTCGTTATTTTATTGTGAGAATGGTACTTTCCCTTTCAAAATAATAAAAATTTCTCTGTGTCAAGCTGATCAATAAAACATTACCCAGACGTAGAATTCATTTATCTTTGACTTCCGGGTCAAACTAAAGGCTTGTTAGCTCGTACGTTTTAATATCTGGCCCGTACCATAAGACAATAATAACCTCGCATCGGACTGTGGTACCGTCCAGCCAAGGTTTCGGACCTCGACTACTTGACGCTGCCACCGTCCAGACATGGTTAAAGATTTTTAAAGAATTGCTATAACAATAATAATTCATGATTATGATAATATTATTATATGAACATATGGTTGTTGCCCTCATTATTATCATTCTTATTATTCCTTTCCAGAGAGGAAGATGCTGGCTCTCCCAGCAGCGTCTGGAGGCAACGTAAAACTGGACAGTCCACCTCAAGTCCAAGTCCCGCCCCCCTCTGACGGGCCTCTCAATCCACCAATCATAACGCACACGGCAGCCACGCCAATGGCCACGCCCCAAGGCTCGCCCAATGAGAACGCGATAAAAGACACCAATCACAAACTGTCTGTGTCTATCAACAGGAGTGCCTTGAGGTCGACTTTGTCGGTGGATTCTGAGAAATCTGTAAGCATCCGAGGCACAGTTTTCTAATATATTATAGTGGTTAAACTACGTTGGTACTGCTGAACTGATTCATAACACACAAGACAGTGGTATAGTCATTGCTTTTATTGTCTGGGTTACAATACATTGGAACAATATAGGGAATGTATTGTTATCAGGGAGTTTACAGTAAGTTTTAAGCTCCTTGATCGCTATGCATCTGTATATTGTTTATTATGTACGTCGTGTCCACATTCTGCGTTGGATTTTCCCTTGCATGGCAAACAATATATTTACTCTGAGTAGTGGTCCGAGGGACTGTGACCAAGTACAAACTCCATACGCTTATAAGCTTTTTTTTCCTTCTCTCCTTTTCCCCCTCCGTCTCTCCATCACCCCCTCCTACTCCCTCTTCTCCTCCCCCTGTTCTATTTTTTCTTTTTCTTTGTCCACATCCCCCTTCTCTATCCCTCTCCCCTTCTCTCTCTCTTTTTCTTTCGCTACCCCCCCCCTCTCTCTCTCTCTCTCTCTCTCTCTCTCCCTCTCTCCCCTTTTCTGTCTGTCTGTCTGTCTGTCTGTGCGTGAGTGCGCGCACGCGCACGTGTGAGTTTATGTGTGTGTGTGTGTGCGCGCGTGTGTGTGCTATGTTTTCTG